GGGGGAGCAGACACCACTCAGCGCCTGAGGAAGGTCCCCACCGGCTCCCGGGGCACCGCTGCGGGCACAGCGGGGCCACATGCTGGACCCCAGCTCTCCCACTGGCACTGGTCCCTCCGAGCAAGGGTGGGCACCCACACTTACTGGCAGACTGCTTGAAGCCCTTGGCGGAGTGGACGATGACGTGCAGGAACCCGTAGAGCCCGGGGGACTCGTCATCTGCGGTGGGGAGAGCAGAGGCTGCGTCAGGGCTCAGCTGCCACCTCCCGGGGCCAGCGTCCCCGAGGCAGCCTTTGCCATAGTGAGCGCTAGGTGCCTGCGGTGACACCCCAATGTCCCCAACCCCCCGGAGGGCCGTCCCCAAGGTCTGAAAGAGGACACACATCCCTTGCTGCCGATCATCCCTGCCGGACATCCTGAGCTCTCCTGCTGCTGGATAGCCCTGGGGAAGGTTCCCAGTAGGGCTGGCTGGGTCTCACCCTGGGGACACCCTCGTCCTGCCCAGCCCAAGGGGGTGCTGGAGAGACCCCAAAAGCAGCCCCATGTTGCAGTCGGGATTGCTCTGCCTGGGAGCCCGACTCTGCTCCGGCAGTGCCACCTGGTGGGTAGCTGTCCCCCTGCACAGCCAGGGTCCCCGAGCAGGGACCCCGCTCCAGCTGAGGGACCCCGCACCTCCTCCCTGGCATCATCTGGAGGCAAAGAGGGACCCACCAGCCCAGTGGACACTCACCGTCCTTATTGCTGGTGACCGGGATATTGTGGACGGTGCGTAGCTTGAAACAGGATCCCGTGAGCACCTGCAGTTCCACCGAGCTCAGGACAAAGGCCTGGAGGTCTGGAAGAGGACAGGAGAGGAGCTTCAGAGGGATGCAGCCAGTGCTGGCCCAGAGACCAAGCAGGCTGTGACCCTGCGGGACCTCCTCATGGTCCCTGGGGGGGCCAGGAGCCCCAAGAGGGCCTTGGCAGCCCCAAACTTACCCTTTTTCTGCAGTTTCTGAATGGCCTCCCTCCACTCAGACCTCTCGTAGTCGGACGACAGCAGGAAGAGGTAGCTCTGCAAGAGAGAGAGCGATGCGGCAGGCTGTGCGCAGCCAGGGCTGAGCCCGACCCCCAGCCCACCCTCCTCACCTTCCCGTTGCGGTTGTGGATGCGGAAGGGGATGGCGGGCGAGTTGAGGAGCAGCCAGAATTCGTTCTCAAACATCTTCTTCTTGAGGCGCTCGATGGCCCGACTTTGCCCCTTGTTGGCTTTCTGCAGGCGAGGAGTGGACAGGACCTTTCGCAGGTGCCCCGGCCCCCCCATGTCCCATCCCTGATCCCAGGGGAAGGCACCCACCCCAGCAGCAGGTCTCACGCCCTCCCTCACCACCCACACTCTCACCTCCTTCTGCACCTCGCTCTTGATGGCCGAGATCTTCATCTTCATGTCCTCCAGCTCGTGGTCGGGGATGACGTGGACCTGCGGGCAGTGCTCCGACTCCTCCGGCGAGGGGAACACCAGGTCGGCCAGGGGCACGTACCACTTGCAGTCGTACTGCTGGTGCTTCCTGCGGCCGGGGAGCGGGCGCTGAGTGATGCCTGACCCTCCTCCTGGCACATCCCTCTGCCCGCCGGAGGACGGGGAGGACACATTCCCCCCATGCCCAGCACCCTCCTTACCCCACCGCCGTCTTCTTCAGCTTGGCACAGAGCAGCACGTCGGTGAAGAGGAAGACGTGCCGCAGCTTCCGCGAGCCCTCTGACAGCTCCACCAAGAAGCCATCCTTGACAAGCTGCCGGGTCTGCAGGGCAGCAGGGCTGACGTGAGAGCGGGCAAGGAGCAAAGGCCAACAAACCGCAGGGGACGGACGCTCCTGTCCCTCTCCATGGCTAAATCAACAGGGGCACGGGAAGGTCCATGCCCTCTGGGTGCTATTTCGGGTCCCATACTCTCAGTAGGGTGCCAGCAAGCAGCAGGGACCAGGTAAAGCCCTAACCTTGCACCCAAGACTGCGTCTAGAGGAAACCCTCCATCTCCTGGCCAAGCACCACGGAGCTCCTCAGGGTGGAGACACCAGCCAGGGGCTGGCAGAGGGCTCAGCCCTCACCCTGTGCCCAGGCACTGCCCTCCCTGCTGCCTCACCTCGCCCTTGGGGGTGGTGACCGCTGTCCTCCGGGGATCGATATCCTCATTGATGCTGGAGAGGAAGTTCTGCGAGATGCGGAGGGCATCCTGGAGCAGCGGGTAGTCGGGGTGGTCAGCCGGGGTGTGCTTGAGGAGGTCCTGGAAGGGGA